GGTGATTGGAATGCAAGACAAGACCAGTAAATCGGTCCTCGGTATGGGTCCAGCACACTGTCCGCAGGGGTTGGGTTATCTGTGTTTTGTAGGTGTTGGGTTTTAAGGATGCCAACTATGTCACCAGGAAAGGAGAAAGTTCTCAGGAGCTTACGAAGGCTTATTTATGTTCAGTATTGATTTTGTTGCTTTTTGTGTTGGGGATGTTTCCAATCAGGGTGTCTAAAAACAGGTGGGATGACGTACATCCCAGGACACTGTCCTGCTCCTCTGCTGACAAATGACAGTCTGATAGGAGGCAGAGCAGAATGCATATTACCTTATGGAAATGTACTTTTTTATTCAGCAGATGTTTTTGACCAAAGTGATGTGAAATCGAGAAAAGAGGATCTCAGGTGCAACTGAGGCTTACTGGCCTTGCTCATTGATGTTAGCTCTACTTGCTCTGGGATCTGAACCAGCAACCTTCCACCACCCTCTTAATAGGGACTCGGCAATTAATGTAACATCAACCTTTAAACTCTTTAAATTCTTTAAACCCTAGCAGTACGCAAACTTCTCCTGTTCTCGTCTTCCTGGCAAAACATCGCCACACTTCCAGTGCCCGTGCAGAGCACAGACCATGATGTAGTTCCTACTACAAATCAAATCAACATCAATTAAATATAAAATATATGTAAACATATCAGTTTAAGTAATATTTATGGCGGCTACCCTTACAATCGTTATGCTTAGATGTAATGATCTGATGAGCAGCGGCCCAGGATCACAGGATCACCACCTTCCAAATCTCTGTGCGATACACAGATGGCCCCGCCTACACCCCCTCCCAGGCCTACAGGCAGACCCCCCCCCCAGGTGAGTGTGGACACGGACTCCTCCGGAGTCGCCACCTCGATGAGATCGGGCCGCCATGTCATGGGGAGGCGCTGAGGCCCGTCTCATCTCTTCAGATGCTCCTTATCGCACGATGTATTCAGGATGTGATCCCTGGATTGATGGCATTGGTACAGCCTCAGCCCATCTGCTGCTCCTACCTGTTCCCCCCCCCCCAACCCCATGGAGTTATTACACCAGGAAGGAGCTGGACGCCAAGGGAGGAGGTGACTTTGCTGCTAAAGATTAGTCATACTTTCATAAGCGGGACCTGTCAGTGTGGTTCAGCTGGACAGCGGCTGACAGGCCTCTTCCAAATGTTGAAAATGCTTAAGCTGACCTTCCCAAAAAGCTTTTGAAGGGCCTTTCTCAGCAACTCCAGAAAGGCCATGAGAGTTTCCTTCATTAGGGTCAAAATCCCATGTAGCAAAAGAGCAGGACATCAGAGACAGAGAGCGGGTTGATTTTTGTCATTTCTCCTCACTGATTCAAGAAAGTAACGCTGTCAACAAAACACTTAACGACATCCAATCTCGTTTTTCCAATGAGTGGACACACTTCCATAACAATGTCTTAACGCCAATTTTAGGTCACCGAAATTAATCAGCAGCTCGAGATCAATTACGAAAAAGCTAATATTTACAGAATTACATCATCTACTTGTTTTGTTCCTATCAGCTTTTTGCGACTGCAAATTAATCTATTTGATAAGTCACTCCTGGCTGATCTGACTGCTCTGCTACAGCCTTTCCGACGCCTTGCAGTTTGGATTGTACCATTCCCTACCCCTGCCTGCATTTTGATTTGTTTTTCTGGATTTTACAGCTCCTTTATGTGATAAATGTGCTGTGATGCCCAGGGCCTTACATATGTCTGCTTCTTCTTAATGAGCGGAAGACACGGCAGCCCACCCACCATGCAGTGCATCACGCGACCTGTTTACTCATTGGCTGAGAGGAGGGGTGGGCGTGGCCATCCTATGTATCCCTGCCCCCTTCCCCCCAGCCCCTCCCACTCTCACTCACCTCTGATTGCAGAGCTGGCAGGCGAAGCAGTCCAAGTGGTAGACGTTGTCCTTGGCCCTCATGACCATCTCGAAGGCGGGGATCAGCTTGCTGCAGGCGGCGCAGTTCCCCGTCACTCCGAACAACCTGTCGGAGAGACACGTCCCGCTCGTCAGACCGGCGGCGGCCCACAAAACACCACACCGGCACTCATTAAGCCCCCGCTTCTCTGTCCTCGTGAGGTCTCTGCTTTGCGAAAACAGCCATGGCACAATCAGAGAGCAAAATAACCCATTAGAGTGCGAGTTTCTTGGGGCGCTTTGCCATCATTGTTAAAATGACAGAGCTCCGCGCCTCTCTGGGAGTCCGCGAAGAATCGCCGGCTGATGGACGATACCGGGGCTGAGCAACGCAGAGCTGTTTATTAACCTTTACAAAGCACGTCTCCCGGAGGCAAAACTGCTGTAGATCGAGCCCCGCGCGCCGTAAATACCTGTCGAATTACGGCGAGGGGCGGCGGTGGCGGACATCTATCCCGGCAGCCCGCCTGACGGGAAGCCGGCTTAATCGAAGGGAACAAGACAGCTGTAATTAAAAGAATTAGGCCTCTTTCTTCAGAGCTGTCTAAATATAGCAGTGCGGCGTGTTGCGGACGGTGTTGCGGATCGCCTTTGTTCTTCTGTATAAATGTGCAGTCCCCAGGGCTGCCATCCTGCGGCGCTTACAAAGTCATACTGATTACAGACTTATTAGGAGACGAAATGCAAAGGCTGATTATGGACCACAGTTACATTAAAAAGCCGACGTTACGCTAGTCCTCTGGCAGCACAGATCTGCCGATGGGGTCGTGATAGATGTGAGGAGCGACGTGTGAGGAGAGGTATTGATCTTGTTTCCGGCATGCTGTATATCTACATGCAGCAAAATGCCAAATTCTCTCTTTTTATTGACACAAGTAATGAATACTCAAAACAATACCACATATACTTAGAAAACAATGTAAATGGATTATCTCCTCCTTCTGAATTCTGACACCACACGATTACAGTGTGATTTTGATAGAACCGGATTTGAGTGGTGTAGCTTAGAGAGCTGGGGATCGGCCGTTGTGTCCAGAAGGTCATAGGTTCAAATCCTTTGGCTGGCACAGTAATCATATCACCTTTGGGCCCTTGGGCAAGGTCTTTAAACCCCACTGCTCCAGGGAGACTCACAGACCCTGCCCTCTGACCTCAAGCTTTTCTCACTTGTACATTACTTTGGGCAAAACTGTGCGAAGTAAATGAAAATTAAATTCAGGACCTGCTTAAAGACAGAACTAGAATGTCAGCTTGTACCTTTCTGCAGGAACCATTTCCTTTATGAGAGGACTCTTTTGTGCCTCTCCAAAACTGAGAAGTACCAGAGTAAAGAGGAAACCTACTGGTAATATGCCTGGTAAGCTGCATGATAAAAACTGCCGTTTATAAACACACACACAACGAATCAGGAAAAACAGATATTACTGTAAGATATTGCCGCAAAGGTTTCGTGGTGCTGTGAGGAATTCCACTGCATTGACAGAAGGGGAAATGCGAACAGCAGTGTTTCTATCAAACGGGAACCTGATGTCCAGTGGGTTCATTAGGACGTTTTTGGAGCTAAACCTTGCTTTGGGCAACTTGAGTCCCCAGCGAAAAGGGTAAGAAAAGCGCAAAAACTACCCTTTGTGTTAGAGGGACTCGCAGGTCCACCTGGGTCTTATGCAGGCATTTATATTTTATGGGCACCTTTAATCGATTCCAAAACTACTCTAACGAGCCTTGCGCAAAATTCATTAAAACATTGTTTGTGAAAACCTTCGGAAACAAAAGCGTGTGAAAGTTAGCAGCCTCCCCAGTCTGCTGTTCTGATAATGTTACACTTTATGTTTCTGGGGCTAAGTGAGGCATCTAACACACGTTTTAAGGGAAGCTGAGGTGTAGCTCTTCTACGAAACATGTCTGCTGTGAAAAAAATAGCATTTTTAGAAGCTGCATCCGGCGCAACAAAATCTCCAATTCAATGCGGACATACATGTGTGAGCGAGGCAGCCCTGCGCCACATCAAAGGCCGCGTCTGTTCTGCCCCGCTTCATTTTAATTTCTTTTCTTTGTCATTAAATCTGAATTTCAGTCGCGTGTTGGGGTGGGG